GATGTTGAACCAGCCTTGCAGCCCAGGGATAAATCCCACTTCTACCAAGGATTTTTATGTAACTTAAATGACTATTTGAGGGCAGGGGAGGGCCAAGGTGAATGACAAGGTCCTTCATTCTTTAAATTATAATTAAAAGGCAAACAGAAGATACAAAAGATGTAACTTGCAGCATCTTACAATCTGAAGAGTGACCCACTCGTCACTGAGGCCATTCTGAATGTCTCTTTCCTTCTCTTCCAGGTGACATCACCCAAAAAGGGTATGAAAAGAAGAGGTCAAAACTCATCGGAGCCTACCTGCCCCAGCCTCCGAGTACGTACCCTCCATGAGTACATAAAGCATCTGATTTTAAGAGTTCAGTGTAACATGCAAGAGAAACCGCTGAGTGCAAACCCTTTCTCACGGCCAGTCTGCACAAAGGTCACACTTCTGATGTGGCGCTGGCCACATCAGGACTCCTCTGTGATTGCACATGTTTTGTGGACCCAGGAGGCACATGGACTCTTCTGTAAATGCGCCTAATTTAATAGGTATTTCATCTACAGAAGGCAAGAATACCTTGATTACTCTAAAATGCTTATTATAAACAAATATGAGAGCACTTATGATGTAAACATGACTTTTGGTTTAGTGAATTAAAAATTATTGCCATTGACTCTGGTTTAAATTAACCCAAGGTTTTTGTTGCTGTCATATGAGGGGGCAGATCTAGAACCTAGAGTACCCCACGTGGGGCTATGACTTGGTAAAGGTTGGTTGTGTTCTGAAACGTGACCTTAAAATGCTGTGGATTCTTCCCTGAAGTACAAAGTCTGTCTCATTCAAGTGTTTCCTGGGTGCAGGTTTGTAGAATCTCTGTGCACTTGACCTGCGTTCTGCACATTTCAGGAGAAAACATGCTCCCTGGAGTTGTGGCCCTTTAGTTCTGATTGAAGCGTAGTTCCATTGGAGGTGACCCTGAGAATCTGCTAGGTTTTAGGAATGGATTAAATCTGACCCAAGTCCTCAATGAAAAAGGAAAGCAACCTAAATTTTACAGGTGCTTCCTGAACTCTATAGTTTCCACTGGTGAAACGACTTGTTTCAAGCCCAGCTCAGGAGTTTCTGGTAGAGAGGTTTACGTCTGCAGGTGCACACGGCGCACAGACCCGCTCTGTCCCCCTGCCCTACTGTGACACGCCCAGCTAGTGTTCCGTTAGCACGGTGCGGGGTGGTTCGCACAGCTCACAATCCAGGGAACTGAATTTGTGTGTGGAGTTTCTGTTGTGCTTGTAGTTTTGTTTTGATTTTGTGTATTTTTCTTTCTTTGCTTGATATTTGAGAAAGTTAAGGTGAAGGTGGACCTGTTGTGTTGGCCTGACTTAGCTGTTGGGCTGGATTTCCCTTTTGCCTGGCTTCTGGAAGGAAGCAGCTCTGTTCTATTCGGTGAATTTAAAGTGAGTCCAATTTTTGGCTGGCGGACACCCACGTGTGGAAGGCTTTCAGAGCAGATGTGGGCAGATGACCAGACGGTCTTCCAGCAGGACTGCCAGGCTGACGGCAGACTCCGTGGCGGGTCCGTGTGATTCCTTCCTGCAGGGACTGCCCCCACGTCTCTGAGGAGGGCTGCGGGGGTAGACTGTAGGCTCCTGACATTGTGGGCTTTTAGTTTCTGGGACCGAACAAACAGAAGTGAAACAGAAACAGGTCTGTGCGTTCCCAGGAGACGCTGTTGAGCCGCGACGGTGCGGAGAATGCGGCTGACCGTGCTGGCTGGGCGTTGAGGGTGGCCCCGTGTCACGTGGTCCTTTGGTGTTCTTTGTGCTGTTCTGCATGGGGGCGGCAGCTCTGCTCAGTGCTGTAACAAATTTAAAAAAAAAAAAAACCGAAAGTTTGCATTAATTAGTTTTTCTCAACTTGTTACAGCAGCGAACGGAGCTGCCGTGGTCCGGTGTAGACTGCAGCACAGTGAAGGAGCCCCAGGAAGAGCGCTGCACTCCGGCAACATCGGGGTGTGTGACATCCGAGAAGCCGCGGTCAGAGAGCGGGCGGCCAGCACCGCGGGGAACCGGCCGCTGTTTTACTTTCGCTTCGGTGAGCGCACTCCACGGAGAGAGACCCCCTGCAGGGCCGGAGGCCGACCTCCCACCTGCCGTGCCGTGAACTCCCCGTGTGGGCGACATTGGCGGGTTCTCTCACACAGCTGCGTGCGGGTGCAGGCGGGGTTCCGGGTGAGCCCCATCCGCCCAACGGGCTCACGTGACTCACCGGAGGCCACGTCTCCCAGTCCCCGCACCCCGACTGTCCCGCTGCCTCAGGGCCCAGTCTTTTCTCTGAAGATATATTACTGGGTGTTGTACAACCCTATTTTCACAGTTGGGGCACCACTTAGAAACACTTGAGAAAGAAGATTGCATGACAAACCGTAAAATTCTTGTTGCAATGGTTGGTCTTCCGCTACCGTGGGGGTCTGGTCTCCTCAAGGGAGTATTGGGCCACCCTGGCCCTGAGCTCTGCTAGGGAGCGAGGTCCACACAGCAGCACGATCCTGTTTCCAAAGGGAGGTAGAAAAATCGAGCCAGTGATCGTACAGCGTATTCTCAGAGGTGATGGGCCTATTTGGAGACTACAGTTACTTTCGTGGGCAATCTTTTGAATATAAGAAGCTCAAAGAATGAGTTCAACACATCTTTTAGTACAAGAAAATGAGCGTTGGTACGCTTTAGGTCTATCTTTAGGAATTTATCCCAAATAAAGGCCATTATTTTAAAATCATGAAGAAATAAAAAGAGATGTTTAATGTTGCATTGGCCTTAGGGTGTCAGACGAGGCCTCTGCTGGGGCTCCAGTCCCTCTTCTCTGGGCCCCTGATGGGGAGGGGCAGGTGGGTGAGGGGCTAGTGGAGTCGGGCGTGAGCCGCGGGGTCTGCTTCACAGTTCGCAGGAGCCTCCTGCACCTGACTGAGACATGAGGAGGAGGCAGCCTGCTTGGGGACGCTGCTCTGGGGGCCTTGTGTCCCGTCCCCTCCCCAAGCCCCCTGGGAAGGGAAGGCGGGTTCCCCATGGCTCTAGACTCAGGAGAGCAGATTCCAGCCAGTTTTGCAGTTTTCACTGCTAGTCATTATTTCTGAGAAATCGTGTGAACCGCCATTCATTCTGTAGAATGAAGTAGCACTAGAGCAGAAGGTTCTGAGTCCGAGCTTGCTTTCTTGACGCGCCCAGTCTGAGAAGTGACGCTTTTGGGCTAGGATCTCACAAGAAGCGTCTCGTGTGTGGTCAGTCAGCTTATCCTGCCGAGCACGTTCCTGTAAGGGCATTTGTGTTTTGTGAACCTTTTTTTTTTTTTTTTTGTCAACATTATTTGTCAGAGAAAATATTAACACTTCTAGAAAGTATTATAAAAACATTTCTAAGATGTCGTTTGGGACACACAGTTCTGAATTAGAGTGGCTTGTACGGACATTTGTGAGCACTCGGGTCGGAGTCCTGGGCGTTAGTCCATCCCAGGGAACGTGCTCCGGAAGCAGTCTGTCTCCTGGTTTTCCTCCTTGGACACCTGGTGCTACCAGGTTCCCCAGAAGATACGTTGTCTTTGGGGAGTGCAATGTTGAGTGCTTCCCTAAATCTAGAGGAGAAAAACTGTGCTGGGAGCTAGAAAGGAAAGAAGGAGTCAGGAAAATACACTAAAAATCATTTTCAAGGAGAAAATATTACTTAAGACTGACCCACTGGGTCTTGGTCCTAGTGTCTCTTTCATTAATCCCCAAACCTGATAAAACTTTAAAAACAGAAACAAACCCACTCGCTGCCAGTCTCTGTGGGCACATCTGAGCACGAGAGCTGGCTTCGACAACCGAGTCCCTGCTGCTCCTGGGACGAGGCCATGCCGTCAGATTCCACCGTTACCTAAATAGTGAGAGTTCCCTGGACCAGGGTCCCTGTTTCTCACAGCACATATGTCAGGGGATTGACTTTGCCTGTGACCCTGTGCGTGTTTCTCCGTGGAGGGTGGTTTCTGTAGGGCCGGTCCCATGTATGCCTATCTTGCTTTTCCATCAACGGCCAGGTGGTGTTGTGTTCAAGGATTTCCCGTGACTGTATAGTTACAGAAATCGTGGTGGATTCCCCTCATGAGACCAGAGGGCCATTCTGTCTGCTCTCTTCCTGCTCCCTGGGAATTGGCCATGGGATGCGCGTGAACGGCCTCCTCGGCGGAGGGACCGCTCTTGGTGAGGGCGAATTGACCACGTTTGTTTCTGCTGAAGGACGCCAAGGGCCCCGCGCAGAGCATAGCCAAGTCTGTGTCGGAAGGTTTTGCACACAGAAGCCCTGGCCCCTCTTCGGCATCGTGGGCCCTCCTGCTGCTGGACGGCCCCGTGCTCCGTTTCCAGGGGTGGCGCTGCTCGCCTTCTCTCTGCACCAGCGCGTTGTTTGAAGCCCAGCTGCAGCGTCACTTCTGCAAGGATCCCCGCGGGTAGGACAGGCCCTCCGGTCCTGCTCCTCACAACATCCCACTTCTCCCCAAGGACGTAGGCGCTTCCAGATATTTGTGGAAGGATGAACCAGTAACCGTCTGCATGTTACAGACCGGCTGCTAGGGTGTGGATGCCCCGTCAAATCCCTGCTGGTGGCAGGTAGGGCCCTGCCCTGCGACCTCCTGGCAACAGCCCCCACGTGGGCACCAGGCCAGCGTGTCCAGCAGGTGCTGGTGCTCACGGGCTCTGGTGGAGTAGGGAGCACTCAGAGCCGGCCCCGCCGAGGGCCGAGCCATCCTGTCTGCGCGGTGCTCAGCTCTGTGTCATGCCCCGAGCATCCAGGCAGACGGACCTCTTGGTGCTGGAGGCATCTCCGCCGTGAGCACAGCTTTGTTTTGATTTCCGATCCCGATACTTGTAGATGGTGACACATAGTGCTCCTCACGGTTCCCGTATCTGAGAGGTTAAAGAAGAACACGATTTGGGGCCTCTGCACATTCTAGTCAACTGAATTGTATTTTATGATCATTAATCCTGGATTTTAGCTCCGCATCCCCTGGTGTTCGGTGCTCTAACTGCAGACAGACTGTCCTGAAGTCGTTTTTCCTGGGACAGGCCCGTACAGAGGCGGCAGCATCTGAAGCCCAGCCGCCAAGGCTCCTGCTGGGTCCCCAGGTTTGCGAAGGAGTCTCCTGCAAGGGACAGAGTTCAGAGCTTGTGAATTGTGCCCTTTCTGGTCTCCCGGAGGATGAGGCACGTTCTTGGCTTGTGCTTAAGGGTGCAGACTGCAGTCAGGTGCCGTTTGAGACTCAGAGAAGAAAGTGTGCGGGTGCTGTGGCCTCCTGAGCTGCCGCTGGCC